TTTTTAATATTTTAAACAACAGGCGTTTTGTTATTACAAAAAAATATAAACCAATACGTTAGAATATCTTGTAATTTAAGGCAAAGAAAAACAGGAGGTTTATTTATGACAAAATTAAGGGTGACGAAAAAATAACGGAAGCTGACTGGTGAACAATCTGCATAAAGAAATATAACATCAGTCACCTGTATAATTAGGCCATTATAGCACAAATGGTCGTTAAAAATGATTATATAAATCGATTTGTACGATGCCCTGGGATACGAGAGAAAATATTTTTGTTACAATCAATTTTGGTCACATGCCATTTTTATATCAGCCACTTAACATTATTCAAAGAGATTAAATCTTTTTATCAAGTTTGATATTGTTTATTGATCCAATATTTGGATGTTAAATACTGTTACATACTTTAAAAGATCTTTCCTTTTACTGCATCAGGCTGTGCGCCAAATCAAATATTTTCACACATATGTATATATATATATATCACTCATGTCGATGTATTAACGACAATTTTTAACGTAGCAACTTATTCATATGGAAAGTATTGAAGTCTTGATATTACAACTGAAACAAAAAAGTATAGGTTTATTGAGCGAAATGGGGGGGATAAGCTACCTTTACTCTTAACCTTTAGTAGTTTTGTAGAGTAAGGTAAGGTTACACTCCAATAGAGTACTACACGTTAAAGTTTTATTTGTTATAATTATGTTAAAGAATGAAGTCACGTATAGACGGTAACAGTTGTTATGTTTATATCAGAAAGAAAATGTATCAAATGTTAAATTTACATATGATTATAGCATAATTTAGATAAACTATTTAAAAAAAACTTGAAAATATACGGGGAATTCCGTTGCATGTCTTACCAAAGACAAGTCATCGGTATTCCTTTATATACGTGGCATATTTATATATAGATCGATATACAAGGCTTACGTTAGTTAAGTAATGTCACGCTTTCATTTATATATGTATGTATATATATAAACTTTGAAGCGCATTCACATCATTCTCTTTTGTAACATGAAGCTGTTTAATCAAGCAAATCAATTTTATAGCTAATTCAAATTTAGGTACATGAGTTATCAATTAGTCAATCAATCAATCAATCAATCAATTCAATCAATTAATTTATTAATCAATTAAGAGATTGAATGAATCAATTTAGCAGTTTAATTTATGATTTATTTATTTATTTATTCCTCTTTTACAATTGTTGTACTAAATACATAATAACTGTTTATAATCAGTTTCTCTTCTGATTTTAAATAAGTTTGATTTTTCAAAAACTTAGTTCTTATCATCATTAGCTCATTTTGTTATCTCATTCTATTTTTATCTCATAGGTATTTTGGACATGGTTCACTTTTGTAATTTAAATTTGTGAATTTAAACTTCAATTATTTATTCATTGAATAAGTAAAAGTTAGATACCTGACGATATATCTACGATATACATGTACTGGTAGACTTTTTTTTATCTTTCAGTAGATATGATAAATCTAGATGTAAATCTTTATATCATGAAATGCAGACATAAAGTCTGGTTAATTTATTATACATCAGTCACTTTACACCGATTTGATAATTACATCTACATGTTTAATTGACCAAAACAACAAGTCTGCTTTTTATAATATGCCTCAACTGCTTTTAGTACCCTTCATATTCACACAAGAGTGAGGATCAACGAGTGGATATGTTCCCCGCTATTCCCCATTCCCATATGAATGTATGGGTTTTGATTTTGCGCCAAAATATTTAAGGATATACAAAATTATCCCATGAAAAGCGAGAAAAGGGGGAACATTTTTCATACCATGGATCTGCAGGATGGGGACTTAAGGGGGGCCTTGTATTACTCTTTGGTGATATTATCAAGAATAACTGACTGGTACATAATACATTAATGAGCCGTGTCACGACAAAACCAACATAATGGGTTTCCGACCAGCATGGATCCAGACCAGCCTGCGCATCCGCGCAGTCTGATCAGGATCCATGTTGTTCGCTTACTAACCCTATTACAATAGAGAAACTGATAGCGAACAGCATGGATCCTGATCAGACTGCGCGGATGCGCAGACTGGTCTGGATCCATGCTGGTCGCAAACCCATTATGTTGGTTTTGTCGTGACACGGCTCATTTGTTCTTCTTGTGAAAATGATATTAATAAAAATTTTTTTAAAAGATACACTACTGCATTAACAATTATTATTAGTCGATTTTCTGCTTATATGAAGAATATTCTTCTATTTAAGCAATACTCTATAATGATTTATTATTTTGTTGTAAATCTAGAAAATATGCCTTTGTTTGTACAGGTAATATTGTAAATAATGGTAATATTCTTTTTATTTGTAATGTTCTTGAGGTTATGTAGGATATTATTAATGTTATTAAACAAATAAAATTATATTGTTTATAAAACAATACAATGTTTATATATACTACTTAAAATACCAAAGTTCGATGGATGGATGGATTGATGGATGGATGGATAGACGGACGGACGGACGAACGGACAGGCAGACGGACGGACAAACCGTCGGTTGGATGGACGGATGGATGGATGGACGGACAGGCAGACTCACAGGACAGTTATTATGTGGCTACTCTATTGCTCTCTCTATTGTTCTTTTTGGCCACACAAAAGAAAATAGCTACATAAAAGCATAACGGAACGAATGACATCAAAGTTACCTATTGTTCCTCTAGCCACATAATTACTCTCCTGTGAGTGCGGACGAACGAACGGTTGGATAGATGGATGGATGGATGAACGGACATGCAGGCGGACAGACATACATGCCAGCATTTGGGGTTAATGTGATTTTACTTTAATCTTTATGTGACACTTTTCCACATAAACTAGTAAAATTACCACATATACCAGTGGGATTTCCTTCTTTTTTTAACTAAAGTTATGTACGGAATGAAGCTCATAGACCATTGGATGTTCGCCCGGACAGACGAACGGACGAACGGTCAGATGGATGGATTAACAGACATGCGGACGGACAGACGGACATACATGCAATCATTTGGGGTTAATGTGATTTTACTTTGATCTTAATGTGACACTTTTCCACATAAACCAGTAAGATTACCACATAAACTAAGATTATGGACGGTATGAAGCTCATTCACCATTAGATGTTTGACCGGACTGACGGACGAACGGTTGGATTAATGGACGGACGGGCGAATGGATGAAAACTGAAAGAACCATTAGAACTACAATGTATCGAGCTGCGATATTTCAAAGATAGTATAAAGTATCAAGTCATTTGCAAATTCGGCACCCACACCAAGGGGACATGGCCTTTTGAATTTTCATATCCCTACTAAAGGTCCCGCTCTGATCTCAAAGTCCCCTCTAATTATCCCCATACTGCGAGTGCGGCATATCTGCGACCATGCTTTCGCAGCTGAAAATTCACCGCATTTTAACTTAATTGATATTTATGTCGTTATACAACTCTATGTTGTATTACTCAATGTACTTTAATTCATATAGCTTCAGACTTTAAGTGTCTAGATAAGTCATGACCGGCTGATCATTACAAACATGTAGTGTCATGATTTTAAAGAGAAAAGGCGTGAACTGACTTAGCTGTCTAACATGACAACATCAAAGTCCAAGGATAGGATCAAAGTCCCTCATTGAAACTTCAAGTTGCCTTTACCATAGATATCATTTTTAAAGAGTACAAGCTATTCAGTATCATTCTTGAACAATTTATGTTTAATTGACGTCAAATCTTATGACGTCATATATCATTTTCTTAACTTAGGGCAATAAAGAGCTAAATTAGGTATTAAATGATATTGGTATGAAATTAAGGTAACCAGCAATTATATCTGAAGAGCGAGCTAATAAACTTACAAAATTGTCTGTTACAAAGAAGCCCTTTCAATAATATTCTTCCCGGCCATTTTTTCATTCTAATAAATAAAGAAGTATAACAAATTTTGATATAAAATATTTGGCCCTAACGATATCAAGTGCTTGACACCAACTGTACTTTCTGACTACATTGACGATGTTAGAAATATACGATAGAAGTATGGATATTGTAAATAATCTGTAAGACATGATAATATATATCATATCATATAATGTTGTATGTGAGTGAATATAAAGAAATTTGGATTGCCTTAAAGTAGAAGTAGAAAAAAATGTCCGACTGAAACAGATGTTTTAAAGAATAATCAATGTTTCTCTCCAACATCGCCTGATTAATACATGTATTATTCTAGAACATAAGTCCGCCTGGTTTACCAATAAGGACTATAAATAAACATGCGTACTTTTTAAAGTAAATTCCGTATTAAACAATATTTCTTTTTCATAAAATGTTTCAATATTGTATAAACTATAAAATATAAAATTACTATATGCTACTTTCATCTTAATATATATATAAAATTTATATATTCAGAAATAACAAATGATAAATCATGCATTACTATACAGCCCAGTAATCAATACATTATAAACATAGGTGTGACCAAATATAGTATATTTTATATCTACATAACAAGATGGAATGATTCAAAAAAATAAATATTTTGTTTTTAAAATCGATCTAAGTAAAAGAAATAAAATTAAATCTAAAGAATTAATTGTGCTTTGGCTTGTTTCGTTTCCATTTCTATGTCGGCAATTTCATTCTAATTAATTTTATGACCACAATCAATGTAATACATTTCAGAAAATACAAGAAAGATATTATCTTTCTTTGAAATTTTAATTTGTTATTCTATGAAATGTTCTCCTTCGTGCTTGGTTTGTAAAATTGTATTTAAACTAGGGCATTCAATGTTCTTTTCTGCGCAAAAACAAGATGGCGCTAACACTGCCGACGTGGCAAGGGGAGAACAAAGGACAAAGCGGGGGTTTGACCTAGAAAAAAAGACGTTACTGCGCAGGCTCTGTGGGAGGAGTCTTCTATAGAATGAGCTAAAAATAATTAAAGAAACCTCTCACCTTTGTTATTAAGTCCCTGTTTCATAAAACTACTCGCAAATTGATAAATCCAGTGTTTGGGTTTCCACTATTACACGCACCTAAAACTGTACTTGTGACGCACAAGGAATACGCATGTGCTGTAACCAAAACAATATGTAAACAGAAACAGTATCTAATGATATTCAATACTGTAATGATTAAAAAACAGTGTGGGAATCAATTTGTTGATATGAAAAAAGCCTTTGTCCGCAAAATTACGACGTAAAAGGGTTCTTTGTGCTTTGCAAGTCTTGCTTTTCTTATGTCAATGGGCGCAGTCGTACACTCGAACACACTTCACGTGGCCATAATACTTTAATGTAGATAAATGCGAATGATAACTACGTTTGAAATAGATAAAGATATATAAGTATGCTATTTTTTTTCAAAAATACAGTACATGTCGGTTCAATGACAAACCCCAAAAGACGTGTTAGTTTTCGAAAAACAAAACGTTTTATTTACGTTTTTTCAATTTACTTTGATGTCTTTGTTAAGGTTAAGCTTTTTGAATAATGTTGATTATAATAAAAAATTAATAAATGACAATTTGAACGATCACTATTTAATTTAATTCGTTTTTATTGCTTTTATTCATAAATACAGTAACATCACGATACTATGGCCATTGTTACGTGTTCGTCAAAAACTTAACTAACGCTACCATTGGAAATTTGATCCTGAATAATGTAAATTCGGCAACGATATATAATAAAGGACAGGCATGTAAGCTGAAGACTATGCTATGAAATTATAAAATCTATATATCAAATACTATTTCAGAAGGTCAGTCGTTCTTTGCAAAAGATAATATTCATTGTCATCTCTGGCGTCAATAAGCTCAAAAGATATATAATCTTTCATTGCTGATGTCCCTTGACGTAAGTACGCTATTTTGGTGTTTTCTTGGGAGACACAGGCAAAAGTTTCGTTTCTTCGATTTTGATTTTTTCATTCATTATTCTGTAATAGTCCTCAAAATGAATACACTAGGCAGTCACAGGGACAAAACTTTTTCTTTATAAAGAATAAAATGGTGGTTTCTTAATTTGACCCACGTAGTTCAGATTAGAGCGTTAAGAATTAACAATAGTTGTCACAGTGAATTCTGGAAACGTTAAGAAACATGTCAAATGAATGACTTAGACTTGTTTCAATGATACAATATCAACAATATCTGTTATTGTAACTTCCAGGGTTTGTTCAAGTCACATGAATTAACTACTCTTTGGTTCTGTCGGCGTCTAGATTTTGTCCAATTTATATACTATATTAGATATATTTGCGCCTCAAACCCAAAATACATAGAATTGATACAGAAATCCATGCCGGGACTTAAAGAAAAGTCATTTTAGCGAGATTTGAGTATATAAGATAATTTTTTAATACTTTTGTCATTCATTTTCCTGCGTATCACTTATGAAATCAAACAGAAATAGAAAATGTTTAAACAGGTCAGTTATTTGTCCTTTGTATATATCTGACTGCCTATGGGAATGTTAACCATACACTTAAAGGTGTCTTATTACTACGAAACATTCATCATTTTTCATTTTATACTGTAAAAATTCATTTTGTTCCGCTGTTACTACTGATTAAGAGTGGGTTTTTTTTAAACACAAGAGCGTTTTACGATAGCATTGTTACAATAAACAAGTTAAATGCAACACTACTGAGTATAAATGTAACAGTAAAGATCAATCAGATGAAATACAGAATACTGTCTAAGATATGAACAGTCTTTGCACGAGTAATCTTTGATTTGACTAGTAAATTTGGCGGGTCATTGCTAAAGATTAAAGTATTTTTTGCCCCGAGTTGTCATAGACCTAAACAATGGTTCCCTGACCTACCTCCGTTTTAAACAGTCGTCAAATGCCAACAAAACAGAAAATCTGCACACTGTCACCTGCGCGCTTTATAACTTTGACTTGTTATAAAGTTGCCCCATTCTTCATTTCATTGTTGTTATATTATCTTTTTTCTGGTCTTTCAGGATCATTGATTCAAACACTTTTAAGGATGAAAATGGAGTACCGCTCAAACCGGTGCTAGGGGACATTAGGAATGTTGCATTTTATCATTATCCCTCATGTACCGACCTTATCAAACCGAGTCTGCAATTTTCATGTAATATTGTTGTGATTAATGCTTTCGAGGGATCACACTTTCCCGTGACATTTTTATACATGATAAGAGGTGAATGACCGAGAGACCCGCCCTTCTCCGCCTGTAGCATATTGGTGCACATTACATCGAGGTTTTACAGTATAATTAAAATATTGTTTTTGCTTTTTATTTAATGATAAAAGTTTATTAATCATACGTTATATTTTTAACTAGCATTTAACCAACTGTGTAATAAAAAATAATTGAAAAGTGAAAAAAATATATGAGTTACATAAAATGTGACATAACAAACATTCATTTTTCATATCATTTATTACATTCTACGCTCTTCACCAAGCCTCCAAGAGTTATCACGCTTGTTGGGAGATGGTACTCACATAAGTAAAAAGTGTACTTATTGTGATAAGGGTGTAAGAGTTATTTCCCATAAAGTTCCTGCATGACGAAAAAACAGAATGTAAGCCATTAAGAGTTATTTGCGCTTGATACAACATTTTTTATGTATATATTAACGGATATCAGTTGTAAATATATAAGACCGACAGAGTTAATGCTCTTTGCTGTGTTTAATCAATTGAAAATTTAAAACGATTATTTGTATACCTATTTTCTATTACATGTAATTTTAGATCTATAATATTTGAAATGTTTATAACAACTAAATACATCATGATATAAACCTTTGCTTCAATATATATTTCTAGCGCGGTATTTGTAGGTTGTTTTTTATTTTCGGCCAAACAAAGTTTTATCAGTACAATTCGGGAACCATTTAATACCAAACAAAATCAGTTATGCATATACATTTACAAATTGTTCAAATTTGAAACTCAATAACCGTATTTTTAGAGCCATATTTATATTTATGTTTTTGTTTTGAAGAAAAAAAAATTTATTTATTGTTTATCTTGGCTCAATCATTTATATCAAATAGTGCGGTTCCAATATTATACGCAATATTTTTCTATTCATTTTATCAAGATTATACAAAATGACAATATCACTCGAATGTATCAAACATATTTCTGTCAATATATTACATGTTGAAAGTTGATATTGAAAATTATCATGACTTTCATATCTAAAGTATTTACATTATTCCTTGATTTACTAGAACTCAAATATGACCGGAAATAGAATGTAAAATGAGAAATGTCAAACTCAAGAGTCTGAAGAAACTATTTATATATACATATAATATGGTTAACAAGATCAACAGGGAAAGGAGACGTTCAATGAACGCAACATCCACACGACCCAGCAACAAGGACCAGTGGCGAGGAGCCTAGGAGGACCCCAAACAAAACAAGGAGGACCCCAAACAAAACAGGACAGGGCACAAGGCAGAACACGGACAGGATTTAGTCGTAAAATATAGTCATTATACTGAGGTCTATCCATTTTATTACAATTTATATTTTAACCATATTAGTAAAGCCGAAGGCATTTGAAATGCCAATTTGCAATTTGCCAATAAACGAAAAAATAATATAACGCATTATATATTTAGACCGGTTCCCAGCAGGGTACGAGTACAGAACACTGTTACGTAACATTTCTATACTATACCTACCTACTATATTCTGTAAGTTTTTGTACATCCGGTAAATCACTTTAATCCTCAGACTTAAATACATGGCGACATTCAAGATTTACTGGTGTCCCTTTGTGCATTATTTCAATACGAACGGACACCCAGAGTAGAACCATGGACGTTCCATTAGCTAGCAGGATAGATGCCTTACGTGAAAGAGTCAAACGTTCCTGGCAGGACCCGAAGCCACATTGATGAAGGGCAATGGGTTAAAAGTTTTCGATCTGAACCACTCGGCGGGCACGGACGTCCGTACTCATTTTTAGTTTATTCTAACAAAGTCACAATCATATTATTTTGGATGTATAACTTGTACAAAGCTGTTTCTGTCTATATACTAGTAGAACTATTTTTAGTGCGCATTAATACTACGAATCACGTATGTGAAGATGTTAAGGAGCTATTTACAAGTTATAGAAGAACCTCAGTTAATTGCTAGAACTGCATTGATGGAAATGTCTATTGACGTAATTTTTAGTCGTGGTAAAGAATGATTCGTCATGTATCACGTTTTTCCTTTTTACTTAATGGAAAAAAAACACGAACTATTCCAATCATATCCATATAAAATATAATAGTAACTAAATATTTAGTGAGTCCTTTGTCAGCAAAGGTAGTCTTACTTAGGGGTGAAGGGAGTTTTGGAGATGTTGCACTTTTCACTATCTTTAAAGGACTCCACTGAGTTTATTTTTGACATGACAGGACTGGAATGTTAAGAGATTAATGTTTCATTTGATGAAGGTCTAGACCAATAACTTGTGTGAGAAATATGAGCCGCGTCACGACAAAACCACCAACATAATGGGTTTACCACCAGTATGGATCCAGACCAGCCTGTGCATATCAGGATGCTTACCAACTCTATTACAAGTAAAGAAACTGATAGCGAACAGCATGGATCCTGATCAGACTGCGCGGATGCGCAGGCTGGTCTGGTTCCATGCTGGTCGCAAACCCATTATGTTGGTTTTGTCGTAACACGGCTCAATTATCAGTTCATTCGATCACTCCATTTTCCAGAATAATTATTCTAATCATAAAAAAGATCCTCAATTGAAAAGCGTTGCACTCCGTTCGTGCAAGGAATGGCACACAAGTACAGATTTTAATTGATTTTTTATATTCCATAATTTTCTTTTGCATATTTTTTTTCTGTCTAACGTGCCCCAGTTTATCTATGTAAGAAATTCAAATTTTGTTTTATAGGCTTTTGGACCTTCGTGGAATTTCTATAATAAAACAAATTTGTTATTTATTTCCATTGCTCCCAATATAGGTCCCCTTCCAGAAATTGTATGGCCTTACAGAATAACAAACGTATAAAATAATAGAATATTTTATATGAGCCGCGTCATGAAAAAACCAACATAATGGGTTTGCGACCAGCATGGATCCAGACCAGCCTGCGCATCAGCGCAGTCTGATCAGGATCCATGCTGTTCGCTATCAGTTTCTCTACTTGTAATAGGGTTGGTAAGCGAACAGCATGGATTCTGATCAGACTGCGCGGATGCGCAGGCTGGTCTCGATCCATGCTG